CAGAAGTAAAACGGTTGCTAATCCATTATATTATATTACATTATATATTATTGTGTATAAAATGTATGTATAAACTAGAGGGAAGAGGGAGGGCCGGCGGCTCCCGGGCCCCCTTCTCCCGCGGGCCTGGGTTTGGGGCGGTCGGCCAGGCCACCTCCATCACATAGTGAGGGAGGTGCATGAGGCAGGTAGGTAGGCTGGCGGTCGGGCCCTGTTCTGCCGCCGTAGCTGGAGTACTGCGGGATGACGGTAACCACAAAAGCAGTACCGCAGCTCATGTTTACTGCGGTAAGAGAAGCTCACATCGACGGCCTTTCTGGGATGCAAACACGTTAATCACCAAGTCATTTAAGTCCGATGATTTTTGGATGAGGTCCTGGTCGATAGACAGCATTTAAAATAATCCACCTCGTTCAGCATGATGCTAACGCAATTCACAAGACTCAACGCTCACTCTCCCACTACAGTAACAGAAAAAGATAGGCAGGGCTTAGCCGTGCTAGCCCATTTATACCAGCCGTCTCTGCCTATGTGTTTACCTTTGTTCTTTGTCAGTTTGTCTGTGTTCCTCCTGTGTCCATCCTGTGTTATTCCTGTGCTTACTCCTGTGTTCCCTGCTCTGTTTCGTGCTTGGTGTTGGTTTTCAGTTTAGTTTTTGTTCTGCTTTCATCTGAACTTTTAGTTACCTGCCTGTACCGAATGTTTTCTATCAGCTGCATTAAAATGATCATTAGTTCTTTTGAGCTCATTTTGGTCAAAGTAATGCAAAAGTAGTGTAATAAGTGACTTATTACTGTACACAGAGAGTAATGTTGTAAAGTAACTTATTACTTTTAAATGAAGGTAACTAATAATATGTAATGTATTATATTTTGAGAGTAACTTGCCCAACACTGCTGACAGATGACCAAAGGTCAGTAACTGACAGGCGGCCATCTTTTGGAGGTAGGAAGAGACTTCTCACTGCTGGGCAGGATATGGTCCTGCCAAATATGGTGATTGTCAGCGAAACCATTCATTTGAGGAAAATTTAAACATGAAGACCAGAGAGTCTTTTCACAGTCAGACAGCATCAGCATTTCTACCAATGGTGGACCCCAGTGGCCCCTCTACAGACACAAAGTGCAAATATGTGTGAGGGAGAGCATATGCCCATGTCTCATACCCACTGGATTTGGTGGTAGTAGAAGTACTTTATAAATATTATTTGGCAAGTTGGATTTAAAAAGAAGAAAAAGTATTTACAAAAATATACAGTACATAAATTAATGCTTGGTCTCCAAAGTCGAGGGGGGGAGAGGGGGGGAGGTGACGGGTCAAAAAAATCAGTCTTAACAAAGCAGTCTGCCCTGGCCTAAACCATACACTTCTCTGATAGGATATGGGACTGTGGATGAAAACATTGTCAGAGAGCTCAGGTGCACCAGGTGGCTGTGTCAGAGCTCATCTACAGCAGCTGCCAGATTCATAGCTCATCCAAATATCTACAAGGAGGCCTCAGAGTAAAAATCCAATTGGGATCTCAGCTGAGGGGGCTCTTATCCTGTAGCTCAGGTGCAGTCCTGTTCCACATTTCTTCTCTCAAGCTCCTCCACATCCCGTGTTGCATAGATCCAAGGATGGGCTCACTAAATTAAGACTACTAAACAGGCTGAAGAGGCTGACATTTTAGAGTTATAAGGGTTTCTCTTGACTGCTTTTGGAAGATGTTTTTCATTTGCAGTTTAACATTTTAAAACAAACACACCCCTTAACAGAAAATAAAACGTTAAGAACAGCATGTTTGCAAAATAACACAACCTTCTTTAAACGTATCAATCACTCCATCAAAACAAACTATTTGTGCTCAATTGAGAATGTATATTTTCTCATTTATTGAACAACGCATAACAAAACTGACACTGCAGCTACAACCTCTGAAACCAGTTCAACCAAATCAGTTTTTGTGTAGCACCCCCACAGCACTGACTGTTTTACTACTGACAACAGTACTATACTTCAAGTTTTAAACTGATCACTCTAAATTAGGAGACATACTGTCAGAATGCATTTGAAATCTCGAGAAAAATGTGCATACAGTAAAATATTGTAGTGATGAATTCTAGACAGAGAAACCATACAGGTACTGATGCTATTTAGAGAGTTATAACAATAAGCTGCTACTAAGTATTTGCTATGTGTTGACACAGCCCATTCTTATTCCCAACTCATCAAATACCACCACTTTGTCAGTGATCTTGGCGTCAGATACCAACGCATAGGTACCTTTCACAGCGGTATGATACACATTGGTGGGGTGGCAGTTGCTGACACAGCGGGCAACAACCAAACTTATCAAATGTGGCTGCCTTGTCAGTGGATGCCCGAGTCAGATACTGAAGCTCTGAGCCTGGCTATTCGCTGGTGGTGCCTGGTGGTGCGGCTGGCACTGCGTGGCCAATGGATGCTGGTCTCCCCCATGCTGATTGGCAGTAACAACAATAATAACAAAATAGATCAATAAGTAAATTAAAGGCCTACACATTGGGTTGGGAAAGCTCTGGCCCTCCTTTGTCACACCACTGCCATAAAAGTGCTTTGGGCATCCACTGTGATGGTTGGGTCTGGTGTCTGCCCTGCTGCCCTGCCCTTATTTGTTGTTTTGGTCTTTTGTCTTGGTCTCTCTTTGTATAATCTTGTTTGTATGTCTATGTACTTGTCTTCACTCATTTTGTAAACGTCTTATTGCACAATAAAAAAAAATAAAAAAGACACTGAAGCACAAAGTTACCTGTCACTGCATTATGAAACACACCGATAGTTGCCAGCGATGTTACAAACTGCTGCTGGTAGCTATTGTTGTAAAAAGAGTGAGAATGTTCCTATAGGATGGGTTGGTGAGGGGATGGATAGGTCAAACAAACACCAGACTTTCAGCTGGGAGCCTGCTGTTCATTTCCCGTGTGAAACCAAAAGTCAGTGGAGTTATTTTAATTACAAATTAGTGTGCTGGTATGTGTAGCATGCTATGGTAGTGACATATGTCACATTATGTTACATGACGTTAGTAACAACCATACTTACAACCATACTTTTATCCTTTAATTTCTACTTTCTCTTTAGCTGATCCATCTGTGAATCTATCAGTATTTCATTCTTAATCTTGTTTTTAATGACTGTTTACTAATAACTACATCTAAATAGCTTGAAAGAGAAAGAGAGGAAAATGTTCTTATACTTAATATGAAGTCTCTCTGTAAGTGGGCCTTAAAGGGTAACTTTGGTAATTGCCAACCTGGACCCCATTTTCCCATGTTTTTGTGCCTAAGCAGCTAATGGAGACAACGTTTTTTGAAATTGATGCAGTACTGAGTTGCATTGTTACAGTTGGCAGCACAAAGTGGGCTGCAGTTGGGTATTGGTGCACAGTCAATTTACATCCACTGAAAGTGCATGTTTTTGCCACTGACAGGCTCAAATTATTATTCTAAGTGTCTGACAATATTATGGCAAGAATCCCTATGGAGGTACACATTTTGTTAAAGTGTAAGATCCTTTTTGTTTAACCAAAACAGCCTGAAAAGCAGCACTGCCAAACACACCAGATTTTATATAACAGTAATTTTAGGATGTATTGAGCCTGCAAATTTTCACATTTAACTGGGTGAATTAAGGGTTTATTTCAACCAAGCCAGAGTTGGTGATTTTTGCAATAGTAGAAAGACAAACCAAGACTGTTTTTTTCAGGTGTGTTTTTTTTTTAGATAGACTATTATTGAAGCCTGTTTAACAATTACAAAATTACTGTTTATTTAAATGGAGCCTGGTGGGTTTGGCAATGATTGTTTCTGTTTAAACAAAGGGATCTTAATTGTTACTAAAAAGTCTCTGTAGAACCCTTACCATAATGTTGTCTGACACTTAAAATGACAAACTAAGCTTGTCAGTGGCAAAAAATCACTTTTAGTAAATGTAAACTGATGGTGCACAAATGTTACATTGCACCCTGTTTTGCCACTGCTGCTCAATAGTGGACCACTTCTAACTAGAATTACCGCCCCATGGTTCTATGTCTTCGCACACCAGTCAAGTTTGTCTTACAGTGTACATCCATGTCTGTGAAAACATGGATGCTTCATACACAGTGTCCCCCCGACAGCACAGAAGATCTACAATAAGCGTAGTTTCAAGGTGGGTGCCCAAGATAAGTGTCACCAGTTCAGTATCTGACTCAATATTTTCCCTTCTGTTCCTGTGATATGCCATGGAAAAACAGCCAGAAAAGTATTTTGTGCAGAACATTATGATGTCACAGTGAAGTTGACCATTGACTTTTTGGATATAAAATGTCATCACTTAATTATTTTATCCTATTACCAATAATGTGAACTTTTGTCGTAATTAGCATATGAACTCTTGAGTGATGGCCAAAAACATATTTTGAGAGGTCACACTGACCTTGACCTTTGACGTTCTGCCACAAAATTCTGGACTGAAGAAAGTTTATTCTGCAGTCCAAGTGGACATCTGTGTCACATTTAAAGACATTCCTCTAAGGTATTCTTGTGATGTCATGTTCATGAGAATGAGATAGACTGACCTTGACCTTTGACTGCCTAAATTCAGTCATTTCATTGTGAAGTCCAAGTCACTATTTGTGCCAAATTTAAGAAATTCCCTCACAGTGTTTTTGAGAAATCACATTCACAACAATGACAAAGACAAGGTCACAGTGACCTTGACCTTTGACCATCAAAATCTATTCAGTTCATGGTTGAGTCCAAGTGGACACTTGTGCCAAATGTGAAGAAATTGCCTCAAGCTGTGCTTGAAATATCACATTCATGAGAATGAGACAGACAGGGTAACAGTGACATTGACCTTTGATCTATGACTCCCAAAAACTAATCAGCTCATTGTTGAGTCCAAGTGGATACTTTTCAAATTTGAAGAAATTCCCACAAGCTGTTCTTGAGATTTTGTTTTCACAAGGATGGGACAGATAAACATGTGTACAGACCCATGGACAACCCAAAACATAATTGCTCTGGCCATGGCTATTGCCGGCACAGAGGCTTAGAAAAAATGGAAAAATAGCGTCCAGATTAAAATTACCAAACTTACCCTTTAACTCAATCTGCCAATTGATTTTGGTAATGTAGATTCTTCTTGATTGGATTTGGGATTTTTGGCGTGTGCCAGCATGATAATGTAATCCATTCACTGCTAACACCTGCAGCAGGAAGTGCTGGTTTGCAAGATGTTTCTGTGTCTTTCTGTGTATAGTAATGTGAAAATTATTTTTGAAAAAATGATTACTGTTGAGAAGTTGAGCAACCTGCAAAGTTGGGAAATATTTAAACACTAATGTATGAAACTTTCAATTGTATATTTTTATTTTGACAGCACAGCTTGAGACAAGAGGTCATTCAAAACAAGACCAATGTTTTGCAATTCCTGTGTTCTTTTTTTTCTTTATAAAGTGAAGCTGCATGAATTGTTTCTTCAGATGAAAATAATGTATTTGTAATTTTGGCTGTAAGATGAACATTACTTACTGGCACAGAACACAGAACCTGATTGATTGAGTTTGTGGGGTTGTTTAGGATACATTATCTGATCCATACATCTGTGTTTAACTGTTGTATACTTTAAAAAAATATGCAGTGGGTGTAAGAAGGAGTTAATAAACTTTAGCTACTAGACTTCAGCTTGGTCCATGGGTTTGTGCCACGCACTTCCAGGGGTGGATTGTTACAGAAGACGTGGTTGCACAGCTCCTCCAGTGGGGGTTCAGGGTTTGTAACAGCAAACTCTGCAGCTTCCTCAACATCTTTAATAATTCTCACATCGATCCCCTTCATCAGTCATAAACAGAAGAAACAAAAACAGCAGAGAGGGGGTTTAAAAATCTGTATGTAACCAGCACCAGCCACGCTCACTAGCAGCAGAAGAGCAAAGCATCATTGTATGTGATTCTTGTTGTAAAGAGAGCAGGGGCGAAAATCCCATTTCATAGCTGGGGGAGACAATAAACAGTAAAATTTTAGAGAATAATTCCAGGGGGGGACAAGGAAAAAAAGTTGTAGCCTGTCTTTTATACAGCATCTTTTACCGCAATTTGACACTTTAATCTTCTCTCTATCTCTCCAGCAGACAGAGTGAATGTCTATACTAACTAAACTAAAACTAATACTAAACATTTCCTGCAATTAAACTGGTAAACTGGTTTATAAACAGTGCGCTGTGAGATCTGCCGCTGCGCACCTCACAACCGTGCGTAATAGTCGCGCGTAATGACCGCTCCTCGTCTGCACGTCTTTGATGTTTGTCTCACTGACAGGAGGAGAGCCTACAGACAGGTACCCATTAGCTACGAGCCGCTCCGTCACAACCGTGCGTAATATTCGCGCGTAATGACCGCTCCTCGTCAGTTAGACTGCACGTCTTTCATGTTTGTCTCACTGACAGGAGGAGAGCCTACAGACAGGTACCCATTAGCTACGCTCCGTCACAACCGTGCGTAATAGTCGTGCGTAATGACCGCTCCTCGTCAGTTAGACTGCAGGTCATTCATGTTTGTCTCACTGACAGGTGGAGAGCCTACAGACAGGTACCCATTGCTCCGCCACTGACTGCTCTTGTCCTGTCCTCTCCCTCTTCTTTCTCTCCTGTCCTCTCTATCACTAAACTCTGAGCTTAATCATTAGCTTTTAGCTTAGCAGCACTCGTAATTGAGTAGGCTTTTGAACAATGCAGGAGAAATGTTGCGGACAGTTTATATTATCAGCCTGGGCCTGGGGCTTGTTGTAACAGTAAATGGGATGTGTTGTAACATGTGTAGCCTAAGTTAAACTGTGTCTGTGTGAGTGAACATCTTACCCTGCGATGCACGATGTGGGCAGCGGCTCCAGCCACACGCTGCTACTGCTGCCAAGCAGCCCCGCCCGTTGGAAAGACTGTGGGATATACCACTACTAGGAATGGGAAGGGGGGGACTAAATCTTTTAAGATTTAAATAGCACATTATTGCACGATTATAATGAGCACCGCTTACATTGTGCTTTCAATAAATACTACTGCATTGTTCAAAAATTATTAATTGTGTCTCAAATGATTCTAGGGGGGTACAGCTTTACTGAAGGGGGAGTCATGTCCCCCCTGTCCCCCCCGGGATTTCCGCCCCTGAAAAAGAGCATTGTGGGGCGTCCCATGTACAAGGCTGTTGCTGCAGTGGCCCGGGTTCGAATCCAGCCTGTGGCCCTCTGCTGCATGTCATCCCCCCTCTCTCTCTCCCCCCCCTCAAGCTTACCTGTCCTGTCCATTAAAGGCAAAATGGTAAAAAAAAATCTTTAAAAAAAAAGAGAGCATTGTGTAGACAATGGCCTGTTAAATAAAGACAGATTAATGAACACATTACACATGTTGTATGGGAATGTCAAGGGGTTTTTGGTTTTGAGGGGAATGTTATGCACCATTGTAGAACTAACAGGGATGCACTTACCAGTGGACAATGCTGTACATCCTCTAAATGATGAGCACTTCTAAGAAGGCAGGCTGGGGTAGTGGATGGGTCACAAAAAGCTGGACTTTCACCTTGAACTTTGCCCCGGAGTTGTGTGTTCAAATCCGTGTAAACTTTAAGTCATTTTATATGTCCTCACCATGTTTCTTTTCCTAAACATAACCTCTGTAATTTTATAATAATTACATAACTGTACGTTTCCCCATGTGTATGTGTGCGTTTGATTCATGGGTACCACTCGTTCTAAAATTGGTTCAGTATTGAGCCGCGAAACAAGCTAAAACGGTAACAGGGGCAAATGCGTCCCGTATAAAAGTGCTTTTTTTCGCCACTGACTGGTTCAGATTGCCAGTGTAATCTCTGTAGATAGCATATTGTAGCGACCCTGGGGCAGTCGTGAGTGTGAATGAGTGGAGTCAGCTGTCAGTCAGTGTTAGAGCAGAAAGGCGGAAGTTGTCCCTGCTTGGTAATGTAAATGAGTATGTGTGTGCAAAGTGTGTGTTACGCTAGAAGAGTCAGAGGACAGAGTCTTTTACGTACTACCCCCTGGAGTGTTACCGGAGTTTTTGGAGTGCTCAAATAAACAGGCCTTTTTCCTGAACGCAAGAACAGGATGTCGCGCAACGCCCCGTACAGCTTTCATAGGATGCCTTTGTCAGACGGCGAGATGCTGAAGTTGTGGCTAGTTGTGCTACAAATGGATGCTAACACTCCTCTCCAGACACTGCGCCTTGCAGACCATCGGGTCTGCAGTGCTCACTTCTCCTAAGATGACTACTGCCAGCCAAAGAAGAGAAGACATCCAATCCCGAAACACCTCTTCCTCAAGAAAACAGCTGTCCCACGAGTAGAGAGAGCTACAGACACAGTGGAGCAAAGCTTGTGACATCACACAGCCCAGAGGTAAGGGAAAGGCTAAGTTAGTATGCTATTTACAGAGATAGCACTGCTGATCTGAACCGGTCAAAACACACACTTCACACACACATACTCATTTACAATACCGAGCGGGGACACCTTCCGCTTCTCTGCTCCAACACTGACTGACAGCTGACTCCACTCATTCACACTCACCACTGCCCCAGGGCCGCTACCATATGCTATTTACAGAGATAGCACTGGCGATCTGAACCGGTCAGTGGCAAAAAAAAAACACTTTTATACGGGACGCATTTGCCCCCATTACCGTTTTAGCTCGTTTCGTGGCTCAATACTGAACCAATTTTAGAATGAGTGGTACCCATGAATCATACGCACACATACACATGGGGAAATAGAGCCCAGGTTGAAAAATACCGAAGTTGTCCTTTAAGGATGTGGTGTCATTCGTGGGGTGCAAATTCTTAGGATATTGTACAAATTGTTGTGCATGTGTTTTATGTAGGATATCATATGAACCATTCAATTAGGATACATCAGTCAGTTTATGTTGCAATAAAAAAAGTGGTAAAAAAGTTCTTTTAAATCAAGACTTAAGACTTTTTTTTGCTGCTATCTTTTATCAAATCAAATATTTATTCATTCATTATTCTCACACAGCATTATAACTTTTTTCTTTTTCTTTTTTTAATTTTAATTTTTATTCTCTAGCTCTTTAAGGCATTATATTGTGTTTCTTTTGCAGTTTGTCTTAATGCTTTTTGATATAAAGCACCCTCAGTTGCCTTGCTGCTGATACACTTTGTCCTGAGCTGTATCAAAATTGGGTTTCATATTTTTTGGGCATTTTGCCTTTAATGGACAGGACATCTAAGCATGAAGGGGAGAGAGAGGGGGGGATGACATGCAGCAAACCTTCAAGTTTCACAGTTTGGAAATATTTGCTACCTCAAGCTCCTCCACACTCGTCATGTTGCTACTGAGCATGTGGTCCCTCAGTATGGAGATAGGATCATGATCTCTGCGGACTTCATCAACCTCCTCCTGTGAGCGATAGCTGAGGTGGGAGATATTGGAGCAGGAAAATTACTTTATTACAGATATAACTAATATGTTACGCTAAACTTGAATTAATAACTATGAGTATTGTCTTAGTCACCATTGATACAGTGGCATGCAAAGATTGAGTACCCCTTGTCAAAATTTTATTTACTGTGAGTAGTTAGGTAAGTAGAAGATGAATGGATTTCCAGAAGACATGAAGTTAAAGATGACACATTCCTTTAATATTTTAAGTAAGATTACTTTTTTAATTTAAAGCTATAGTGTGTAACTTCTACAGGTCCGTAAATGTCCGTTTCACCCAAGCCACTACTAGAGGAGATGACACAATGCTGATTAAGCCAATCGGCTCCTCTAACATCTTGCGGTATTTTTCATTATATATCATTTTTAGTTTGCGTGTCGACTGGCGACATTCCCGCGCTGGTGCACAGGAAATGCTTCCTCACAACAAGAAGGGAGGGGGAGGAAGAGCGGAGAGTGTCATAGCAAGAGGTAGAGTGCAGGTAGAAAGAGAAAGCAACATGGAGGAGAAGCGGCTGAGACACGGTTCAGAAGTGGATCCTACCACAAAGAAAAAGCCTGGACGTTCGGCTGAAGGTCTATTGGCAAAGAAGGAAAGTGAGCGACGGAGAAGGCAATTTGAAGGATTTGTATTGGCGTCACTTTTCCTCGGTGGAGAGCCCTGAAGGAAGAAATTGGGCTGAGGGCAGACACTGATGTTGCCTTGCTGCTGTTGGATAAGTAAGTGACTTGGTTTATAATTATATTATGAGTTGTATTTGTTGCTGTTACATGTACTGGACCTAGTACTTTATTATTTTCTTGGAAATGGTGCTATGAACGTAATGTAATGTTAGCAGCCTGATGTTTGCCACTTTGTGTAGCATTGTGTACACAGTGTGAAGCGAGTGTTACTCTGTGTACACGGTGTGTGGCGACTGGCGAGTGTTACTCTGTGTACACGGTGTGTGGCGACTGGCGAGTGTTACTCTGTGTACACGGTGTGTGGCGACCGGCGAGTGTTACTCTGTGTACTGTGTGTGGCGACTGGCGAGTGTTACTCTCTGTACACGGTGTGTGGCGACTGGCCAGTGTTGCTCTGTGTACATGGTGTGTGGCGAGTGTTACTCTGTGTACACGGTGTGTGGCGACTGGTGAGTGTTACTCTGTGTACACGGTGTGTGGCGAGTGTTACTCTGTGTACACGGTGTGTGGCGAGTGTTACTCTGTGTACACGGTGTGTGGCGACTGGTGAGTGTTACTCTGTGTGCACGGTGTGTGGCGACTGGCGAGTGTTACTCTGTGTACATGGAAGTGCCGCCGGCTTATTAGTTGTAATAACAAATTATCTGCTGGGAGGCAACAGAAGTTACGCACTATAGCTTTAACGTCTTTTACAGTTTCAAAATAACAAAAAAGGAAAAGAGCCTGAAGCAAAAGTTCGGGAACCCTGCATGGTCAGTATTTACCCCCTGGTTGGTAAGTATCACAGCTGCTAAACGCTTTTTGTATCCAAGAGTTTTTCAGTTGTTGTTTGGAGGTTTTTCACCCATTCTTCCTGCCAAAGGCTTCTAGTCCTGTGAGATTCTTGAGCCGTCTTGCATGCACTGCTCTTTTGAGGTCTATCCACAGATTTTTAATAATGTTTAGGTTGGGGTACTGTGAGGGCCATGGCAAAATCTTCAACTTGTGCCTTTTGAAGTAGTCCATTGTCGATTTTTAGGTGTGTTTAGGATCATTGTCCAGTTGAAGAATCTATCCTGTCCATCTTCAGCTTTTTTACAGATGGTGTGATATTTGCTTCCAGATTTTGCTGTAATTTAACTGACTGAACCGTTCTACCTTCTCCCTTTGAAATGTTCTCTGTGCTACTGGCTGCATCACAAGCCCAAAGCATGATCGATCCATCCCCTTGTTTAACAGTCGGACAGGAATTCTTTTAATGAAATTCTGCACCCTTTGATTTGCCTTTCTAACGAGCAGCTCTCTCTGAAAGTTTTCGTCTTCCAATCCTAAACCTGACCCCCACAGTTCCTGTTAACTGCCATTTCTTAATTACATTATAAATTGTGGAAACAGCTACCTGAAAACGCTTTGCTATCTTCTTATAGTCTTCTCCTGCTAAGTGGGCATCGGTTATTTTAGTTTTCAGTGTGCTAGGCAGTTGTTAAGAGGAGCCCATGGCTGCTGATTGTTGGGACAAGGTTTCAGGAGTCAGAATGTTTAAAAAGCTTTTAAATTTGCATCACCTGGCCTTTCCTAACGAAGACTGTGAACAAGCCATAGTCCTAACAACCTAATTAAAGTCTGAGACCCTGGTAAAAGTTGTCTGAGAGCTCAAATGACTTGGTGTGCCCAAACTTTTGCATGATGCTTTCCTTTTTTCACTCTACAATTGTACAAAACCAAAATAATACACTGATATTGCTTAAAATGTTGAAAAGCATGTTTAATCTTTAACTTCATGGCTTTTGGAGATCAGTTCATCTTCTTCTTACTTAACTCTTCACAGTAAAAGAAATTTTGACCAGGGGTGCCCAAACTTTCACATGCTGGTGTTAATACCTAAATGTTACATATAACGAAGCTCAATTATTGTTTTTCTTTTTTCTTTTCTTTTTTTTCTTTTTCAGCAAATGATTCATGCAATGCGTAAAATGTCACTTTTGTGTCACTACAATTGTTGACTGATTTTTAAACCATATTTACTAAATGTGGGTAAATGTGGGTTCTATGAATGGTTGAAAGTATATATACCACTTTAACAAAAGTGCTATATTATTTTTCTTGGCAGTAACAGTTATAGTGGTTTTCTTAACAGAATCATGTGCGTTGGAAACAACAGCCATAAATGCCATTTTGTCTACTTTGTCTCAAATAACAAACAAACAAACAAACAAATCTAAAGCCTATGCCAGCACACACTGGACAAATGGGCAAAGACAATTGAGTGAGTCCAATAATGGAATAACAGGAGCACATAAATAAAAATAAGAAAAACAAGAATGTATAAAGACATATGGGCATGTATGGGCTTTTACCTTAGGTGAGCATCACCCTCAAAATGTCCAGCAAAACGATAAGTCTGAAGCTCCAGTAGGATGGGGCCCTGAGTTACCATACAAATAAGAGATAATTTAAATAAAGATATGACAGCATATATTAAAAGATGTGAAAGCATTTTTAAAAATGATCAACAATCAACACTATCTAAAACACTGACTCACCTTCCCCGATTTACAGTGATCAGCTGCAAACCTGGTCGCCTCACGAACACAAAGAATGTCCATCCCGTCCACCTTAACATAATCAGGTTTACACTAAAGTAAGTGGATTTTAGATGTCTATTTAGCATCCCTTCAGATACACATAAGAAAAGTGTTCATAATAATAAAGGGCATTGTGGCTATCACCTTATTTTGGAGTTCATCTTCCCCCTATTGGCCAAAACTCATAAATGATAAAGCTTGTCTCTTAAGGACCATGTTTGCACAACAACCATGCAGACAAATAGTCCCTCTACCAAGTGAGGAAAACCTCTGTTAAGCCCGGTACTCACTGTATGATTTTGGGCTGTCCCAGATGAAAGATGACCAACATCAAAGATATCTTTGGTCATGGCTCTTAAACAGTGGTCCTACGTTGCACAGCGTTAGGGGTTCAAGGACGGTCTTGCGATCAGAGACAGCCTGAGATAAAATTCTGACAGTGTCAGAAATCTGGGATGACCATCTCTCTGTGTGACTGCTGTTATGACCTACGCCTACTAACCAGCCAATTGAAATGCAATTTCAAGTGACGCACTGTGGCTAGACCCAAACAAACAGACAGATAGCAGCTCGCCATGGAGGCAAAACATGCTAAAAGAAATGTGTGGGATTCCAGCAAAGAGGAAAACCTTGTGGAATTGTGGCAGCAGAGGCCTTGTCTGTATGATGTGTCCTACAGCTTTCACCATGATCACGTAAAGGAAGATGAAGCTAGCTGCTGCTAGCCTAGCTAGCAAACACACAGACAGACACACCACAGTTAATAGTGCCCACAAAACTTTAGGTCATTTAATAATGTGACCCTCTATGTTGTGCTTCACACCTGTGCAGCATCCTTGCACTCGTAACCTGTGATTCAGTAGGCGCTGTCATTGTACAGTCTGCATAAATCAAACTTGATGTCCTACCCAAGTTTATTAGATCCATGTCACACAGTGTAGCTTCACTAAACTTATAAGACTGCTTACATCTCACAGTCTGCAGGAGGCTTTAAAAGAAATAATTCAGAACAGTACCCTGAGACCAGGAATGAAGTCTCCTCTCTTGTAAAAGTCTGTGCTTGCAGAAGCTCGCTCCATCGGCGTACCTTTAGCAAACCTGTTGTTCTCACAGACAAAAATGATGGGCAACTTCCAAAGTGCTGCCATATTAAAGGTTTCAAAAACCTGACCCTGTGGAATACAGACACAGTCCAATATTTTTTTACTTAAAAAAAAAATGTGTCAATTTTTTATACAGGACCCTCATGGATAATAAAATAAATCAGTTTATAGACAAGAAGAAGATGATTTGTTTACTCTAAGTCAGTTTTTACAGATAGGTTAGAGTCAGTTTAATGTTTGAATTTGCAAGTTCATATACCTGATTGGCCGCACCATCACCATAGACACAAACACTCAGCTCACTCTTGTTCTGATACTTGCAAGCGAGAGCTAAACCGGCACCCAAGGGAACCTTGGAAGAATCCAGAGAAAGCCAATATTGCATTAGATTAACGTTGAATTGCAAATCACTTTAATAAACGCTACTAAAATGTACTAACAGTTGCAAGCAAACATCCAATGAGATGAGGTTTTACCATTCAATCAGTTCTACATTAGAGGATCATTTTATTCAAAGATCATTTTATGAAAACTGTTATGTGAAGGTTTGGACTCTTGAGGAAGCATTTCGACAGTAAATTCCCAGAAAATAATGCTGCATTCACATGCTCCCATAGATCAGAATAATCAGCATCATTACACAAATGATTTTGTCCCAGACTTGTTGCTACACGAGTATGTACTTAAATATTGCGACTTAAATAGTGCCATTTTACAGCTGAACAGATGTAAAAAAAAAAATATTGAAATGCAGTTATTTCCTTCCTATTTGACAGATGACATGCAACTGTCAGTGGAGGATAACAAAAAAACTGAGGTGGCCAGCTTTAGTCAATCAACTACAGATGCTGTAAATAATTTAAATAATTACCTGTGATCCAACAATACCATTTCCTCCATAGAAGGTTTTAGTGTACATGTGCATGGAGCCTCCTCGTCCTTTTGAAATACCTGCTGCTCGGCCTGTAAACAGCAAATTGTGAGCAGTGAAAACAACCTGATCTCACAAAAATACTTGAAATGACCACGACCTCTTAACACCGCATTCTGTGGTGGCAGCACGTAATGGGTTGAAATTACATGCCGGTACCACGAAAACAATGCCAATGTAAAGTCAATTAGGATCCTTTTTCGTGGTGGACACACAAATTGTTCTGATTGAACAAAGTCCTGTATACACACAAAAACAGTGTTCTTGATATTAAAACGGCAAATATATTCCTCTGTTATAATTTCCCACCAATAATAATAAGAATAACAACATGATAGTTCGGCTGTACTAGATATTTTATATATTCAAATATTCAGTCCCAAGAAAAACTAGAGAACTTGCTAAAATATCTGAAATTAGCCATCATGCCTACTTTTTCTTAACATAGTTCATCTAGGAGCAGTGTCATTACTAGTTCGGCTTTACTAGATATTTGATATATTCAGTAGATCTATCTTATTACGACCCTGTTTTACAACTCTATTTTACAAGCCGCAATAAACCTACCATCACAAAAAACGCTGTTTCTAGTGTATTAGCTAAAATATTGAAAATTAGCCGACATCTTTACTTTTTCTTGACACAGTTCATCTAGGTGCAGTGTCATTACTAGTTTGGCTTTATTAGATATTAGATATATTGGGTAGATATATCTTTTTACAACCCTATTTAGAACCCTACTTTGCAAATCAGAAGAACTACAACTATGATTCTGATATGTATCAAGCTGCATGGCGCGGTCCCAGGGAATTGTAGTTTTTTTTAAAAAAAATAAGTGTTTTTCCTAGATTTCGCTGGTTCTGTGGTGCTGGCTTGGGGTCCGGTCTCCCCTGGTGGAGTGGACGCGGCCGCCTCTGTCCATGTGATGGCGTTTCCTCTCTGGTTCTTCCGTGCTCAGCCTTATTTTTCTCTTCTTATTTATTTATTTATTAGTGGCGTATCAGTGAAAAAAAACAAATCTGTGTTACTAAATTCTTACATTTTTACCTGTATTTCACCATAGCAAGTTGCAAGTTGACATATTCTGCCATATATGAAGAGGGGAGACTCTCTGGAATCTGGCAATATAAGAACCATGATGCTGAGACATTCTGTCATTTCACAGTTGTCCAAAACATGTGGTTTGTGCCAGGCAGACATGATTGCCAGTATTTTTGGACAATATGGAGATATTTGCATCTTGAAAGCCGGACTACAAATGTGGATAGACAGGGAGAAACACACGCAAGCCTAAGACGTGGTAAGATACGACATTCCTCACTATATGAAGTGACTAATAACAAGATCTGTATAATGGATTGTAAAGAAATTCGTCAGGTTTTTATTTTGAAGACAATTGATCTGGATTTATAGCGTGATGGGATGACAGCACAATGATGAGTGTGGTATCACTGGAAAGCTCTGGTCCTGCGCTTTCATGTGATATGTGTGGCACTTCTGTGCAAGCCTGCATTCGTGAGTAATCCATCCAAGAGTAATGTGTGTGTAAAGCTGTATGAAAGCTTTGTTATACATAATTTTAGTGTAACTTTATCATTTTTTTCGCTGTGAAAACACTGGACTAGCGACAAGTGTTTGGTCTTGTCGGAAAGCTACAGTTCCGCTGTTTCACGTGATATGCGTGGCTTCGCGCTATGACGCAAGGTTGCAGAGAAAAACCATAGAGAAGAACAGGTGTGAATTTGGACGCACTATGCGTCGTTTGGGCCCATAGGGTTAAAGCCCTATGCTATGAAAAGCTGGCAAAATACATTTATTTAATTTATGGCCTTGACATTATCCTGTCATATTGTTGAGTTGTCAAGGACACTTCCGTGTTTTTGTGTGTGTACGGGAAAGTTAAAGATATCATTGAGGAAAACGAGGTTGACGTGACGTTGTTGAATCAGGGAATTCGTGTGTCCACCACGGGAAAGGATCATAATTGATTTTACATTGGCATTGTTTCTATGGTACCGGCACGTAATTTCAACCCATTACATGCTGCCACCACGGAATGCAGTGTTAAGAGGTCGTGGTCATTTCACATATTTCTGTGAGATCAGGTTGAGTGAAAACATGGAAACAACTGAACTTAGGGGGAGCTACAGGACATTTAAACTTTTGGGTGCATTTATCTTACCAGCAAGCTCAGCCAGAATTTTCTTAAGGGACCCACCCCTGGTGTAAGTGAAGCCATGGGAACGATATGCAGTGATCAGGTGGTCTGTTAAGTTAATTGCTGCTTCAATACCAACTGCACAGGCTTCCTAGAGGAAATATACATATATTTATATTTTTTCTTTGTCCCAGTGGGATTGGGACATTTAATGAAGGTATCCATGTGGGACTGTGGAGTTTGATTGGAGAGGACTGAAAAGTTAATGGACAAGAAATTTGTTTAACAATACAGTAATCCAAATAAAACATTTGTTGTATATGTTGAACCTTGTGACTGCAACCAAGTAGTAAAATTTAAGAGAGGGCTATTCAGTAGAGGAGATCCTTGCACTCAACCGAGACACATCCAGCGGGAGGCACCCAGGAGGCATCCTAGTCAGATGCCCGAACCACCTCAACTGACACCTACTCTGAGCTCCCTCAGGATGGCCGAGCTCCTCACCCAATCTCTAAGGCTGAGCTCAGCCACCCAATAGAGGAAACTCATTTCTGCAGCCGCATGCTTCCTTAAGCACAGTGATACTGTCATGATTTCTAGAAAGAGACATTGAGTTTTTCAAATATATTGTTTTGGTGCTTTAAGCACCACAAGTTTTGTGCCATCTAGTTCCATTATATTCAAGATAAGGCAGACATCTCTATGTCCGACATCTCCAACATTCTGCAGCTCACACCACAATAATCTAGACAGATAAATAGTGCTACAGGTAAGACAAAGAATATGTATTACTGATTTGTGAGTGAACTGTAAATTTAACACCAAAAATGTAAACCCCATGGCAATGCTCCAGGAAAAATAAGGGGATCACCAAAATATTCATAGACATTGTTTTGAAAATTATGAACATGCATTTTCAAATTTACTAAATGTATTTTCAGTCCATGCAGTACATCTACAGTCAAAATACTCAATAAGTGAGAAGTTTGACCAGCTAGAGCTGTTCGGGATAAAGTCAGGGGATAACCAAAATCAGAAGGGATTCATCATCTGGGGACTGTGAATACAATATCTCATGACCATCTATCAGATAGTTGTGGAGATCAGTTTTAAGGCCCTGACACACCAAGCTGACGGTCAGCCGTCGACCAAAGTCAGGCCGTCAGTGAGCGTCTGTCACCCTAGTTTTTGCGGTGTGTCCCTCACCATCGGCACTTGGGCGTCAGCAGCTTTTGTCGGCAGCTTTTCGGCAGATTGAGCATGTTGAATCGGCGGCTGAGCTTGTTGGTTAGAGAGATCACTCTGATTGGCTGTTCAGGTTTTATTTCCTCACCCCTGTAGCGAGTGAATCTACTTGTAGTGAAACCGAGACTAACCGGTGCTTCCTCCTCAGGTTCCACTTCACTCAGCTGCCTGACAGACCCGCTGCTTCTTCCCACTTTAACCTGAATAACAAACCAGAACTAGCTGGGAGCGGCTAGCGGAGCATTAGCTGCAGCATGACCAGAGGGAAGCACAGCCAGTTAGCCTCCGCTAGTCTCTGAGCTAGCCCCGGCTCTCTGTTTGGACCCAACTGGAGAACTGAGCCCGGGTTTGTTATTCAGGTTAAATTGGGAAGAAGCAGCAGGTTTATCAGGCAGTGAGTGAAGAGGATCCTGCACAGGAAACACCGGGACCTTCTGGATGTAATAGTCTGTGGAGGTGCTGCGGCGCTCGGCTGCACAGATAGGAAACCCCTCGGCTGACAGGATGTACCACTCTCTCACTCCGTTCTCTCACGCAGGTGCAGAACGTACATGCTACTTGGCCGTTGGATGTAGTCCGTGTAGTGTGTTCAAATGCAACTGACATAGGGCGACGTGAGGCGACGTAGACGACGCAACAGTTGGCTTTCGTCGCCGCTAGTTCTTTGATGTTGGTTTGGTGTGTCTGCACCTTTAAAAGTAGTGGAACATACCAATCATCATTGCCATCCACAGAGCCATGTCACTGTTTTTCAATCATGGCAAATATATTTTTGCAAGTGTAGCTGTCTGTTTCAAATGATATCCAACATGTATCAGCAGCACTATCATGCTGCAATTAAAGTCTATGTAACATTATTTATTAGACATTCTTGTGACTGTGATGATTCTCAATCTCACTGAGGCTATTCCCTTAATAAATAATCAGTTTTATCAAAGAGAGTCCATTGAAGGCTACTCTACCTGGCCATTGTACAAGTGGCAGCCACCTCTGATAATCCTCTGGTTGAACAGCTGTCCAGCCTTCAGCTCTAAACATCTAATAGTCTGCATGGTGCTGTAGTACTGCAGACCCTCATCACGAGTCAGAACCACCTGAGCGGCCGGAGCTTCATCCAGCTTGTGGACATCACATTTCTATAGTAAGACAAGTAGTAATAATTAACATTGTGTTGTGTGCATATATTTCTAAGATAAAACTGACAAAAAGAAATGTTTTACCTTTATTTCAAATGTAGCCCAGGTGGTGAAGTCAGCATGTGGTGGTGCTGACATCACTACTACAAGTCCGTGCAACAGGAGAGATCACCATTGTTAACATTTCTTGCTCAGAAATTCCGTATTCATGAAGCTAAAATTCTAAATTCAATCCCTGCTTTTAAGCTGTTTAATTAAGTCTGAATACTATTTTGAGTCTCTCAAATTTGTTATAATTAAAAAATTACATCAGTTGCTAAAATTTACTCAGAGATGTTTGCCTGATGAAGTTTGTCACACAAATAAGCCTTAATCATTCTTATAATTTCTTCTGTGTCTTCCTATTCTCCTGATCATTATTATTATTATTATTATTATTATTATTATTATTATTATCATTTACAGCTGTAACTAATGTTATTCTTTCTTTACCTACTGAACCAGTTCTTACAACTAAATATATACATTTCTAAATTTAAAAAAATCTGCAGCTTTGTTTTTTCTTTTTGTTGTTTGGGCTTTCTCCTGCAAGTCACCTACACATGTTTCTCTGTGGTTACTGTAGACTGTATGCAAAGTTTTATGGTGAGGGTATAATTATAATTCTCATGTCGACCTGAGCTGAGTTACTTTTTCATGTTTCATGTTATGTTGTCTGTTGTATTGTCTTATGTTTCACATTTGTCTTTTTTGTCTGTTGTTTTTGGACTTAATATTAGAAATAATATTAAATACAACATCATTAGAAATACGGGAACTTACATAATCTGTTCGTCATCTGCAGCAGTCAGTCAATCACAAATATAAAACAGAAAATTAGACAAAAACAACCAGGTTAAGCATTTTCAGTTTCTCTTCATATGTTAATAATTCACATCAGAATATAGCTGAAAGATAATAATAACATTCAGTCAGAATCACCTTTCAGTGTAATGCAGTTCATTACAACACCAACACAACTACAACCTTCAAAATGACCCTAACCTGAACTTAACACTTGTATGTCTGTTTCCTGGTATTTCTGTGTAAAAGCAGGCTGGCTTACATTTCTCTGGGCAGTTGTCCATAATACGTTGGAGATGTTCAGCATGATGACTTCCAAAACAACTGATGCTCCTCACGTCACATTATGTTTTTCAGTCTTTTAGAGGGGCAAAAAGCGAAATTGTTTCAGTGTTGTGTACTGCCTGTAGACCAAAACAAAGTGTGTCATGAGCCACTCCTCCCTCTACCTCTGCTCTCCACCCCTCACCCCCGACTCACCTGTCTAAACTTAGTTTAGCAGTTAGCAATGTCTTTCACTCACTCTCGGTCTCTGCTGAGTTTAGCTATTTCCCTGCCTACTTCAATGATGATGATACCTGTAATAAATGTAATATATTTGCTGAGATGGAGGCGAGGCTCAGTGACTAGAAGAGCTGGTAGAAGGGCTCCATAGCTGTAAGTTACTCCAGTAGCCGGTGGCAGCCGATTCGGCTAGAGCCATCGCCGGATCCCGGCTAGTGCTAACACCGGGAGCTAACGCTAATGTTCCTACTCTTCTCCGTGAGTGAGAGCGATGTTTTAGCCGGGCTACATTTTACAATGCTAATTGCAAATGTTAGCTGGGCTGCCGGGCTACTCACCTAACACAACCGTAACGCCTGACCCATTGATGGGACAGAGCCGCTAATAACTCAAGCTCCAGACATTAACCCATGCTACGATTGTAACATTAAATTTAATTGAATCGACATAGTGAGATGTGCCTATCGTTACTTTAACACTAATTAAAACAGACATTTGACTCTATGTTGTTACTTAGCCTACCTGTCCAGGAGAAGAAGAGCTAGCTCTGAGTCAAATTGTAGCCCCTTTATCGCAGTGCTCTCCACCTTGGAAATGCAAGGCCAATGTTAATCCGAGTTCTGTCCCTTTCTTTATCCGACAACTTCTTCGCCAACAACCGTTGTTTCTTTAGAGGTAATGTCGGATCCTGGTCGTCTTCAGGTGAACGTTTCGTTCTGCCATTGCTCACTGGCTGTAGCCTTTTATAGGGAGGGAGGGCCAAGGGCTCAGAGAGGAGGAAGAGGAGGAGGCGGCGATTCACATGAACATACATGAACACGCAGCCAGACCGGCTTGTAAACAAGGGGCTGGAGATCAACACAGAGAGAGGTTGTGTGAGGTCATGCTATACTCCAGATGAAATTACACCTCTAGTTCTTCACATAGCGATTTTTTAATTCCTTCAATCTAGAAATGATGAATTTCCGCTTATTGCCCCTTTAACAAACAGTGAAGCTAGTCTTTCTAGTCTGGTCACCTCCAGAGTGTGGACACACAGTTTGCATACACAAACGTATTTATTTGGTGTACACAGGGCTTACTGATGTGATATAGGATTGGTGATAGGGGTGTCTCAGTATACCTGTATTGATGATAAATGCATTAATTAAACATGAAATATTTAGCATGTTAATAATATGCATATCATGATATTGTTTAAATAATCCAGCACCTCGAATATCATATTTATTTACTTCCAGTCTCGCTTTGGCCCCCTCCACCTTATGTCATCTGTTTTCAGCGTAACTGGCCTTTCTGTATGCTTTTTACCATCATAGTAAAAACTCTCTCCACACTTGTATTTCGAGTGTCATTCATTAGCAAAAGCAAAGTCAAAACACACAATAAAACCGTTAAAGATGAGAAATTTGACACTTTTTTTCTTCTTTTTTTAATTTTCCACAGATATCATGATACTATTGTTATTGTGACTCTTTTGGTCACAATTATGGTGGAGTGAAAATCTAATATCATGCCAGCCCTACTTGATGACAATTTGTAAAGACTGTAATAATTTATGATCTAGAATACAACTCTACAAAGGGTTTAAATGAGCTATTTTGCCAGGCAATAAGGGCATATGTTATGTTTCAACATTGGGAGGGTCACAGAGGAAACAGGGGATTTATGGGTCCCCCAGCAGAACAGTTTGAGATCAAACACAATATTCCTGCAATTCTGATGAATTTTTATGCACCTCTTTGTGCCTTGTCCGCATTCATTTCTGGTGTAAACGTCTTAAATTTGGTCAAAATAAAGGTCCTCTGCTACTTTTATGTTGTTATTGGAGGGGACAAATGCATATGTTCTAAATATTGAGGGGCATGTGTTCCCTGCGTCCCCCCTAAAATCCACACCTATGCAAGGAGATATACTTGTTGTTAGCAGTGGGGGAAAAAATCAATACAACATAGTATCGCAATATTATCGTGGAGCAATATCATTTCGTCACACAGTGCTAAGCATTGATGTTTTTTTAAACTTCAGGTAGCCTACTAGAATAATATAATCAAGTGCTTTTTTGGTTCAGTAGATACATTTTGCTGCTATAAAAAATGGCTGAAGTGAGATGAATAGAGTGAAAACTTTATCTTAATAGATAAAGCAGATGTTGATTAAAAAGGTAATGAATCTAAATATATCACAATATATTTTATTGCAATAGTCAGCATATTTAAAATCGCATTAATATTGTATCATATTTTAAGTATTGTAATAATATTGTATCATATTTTAAGTATTGTAATAATATTGTATCTTGGATCCTCCATTGATTTCCATCCCTACTTATTGTACAACCCCAGTTTCAAAAAACAGTTAAGACACTGTGAGAAACATAAAAAAAAAAAAAACAGATTGCAATATTTTGTTAATCTTTCTTTTTTTCTTTACCTATATTCGATTGAATACAAGGCATCACTTAACCACTATGTAACTTCTGTATGAACAAATGAGCAAACTGAAATGTGTTTGTGTGGCAAATATTGTCTGTGTGTGTGTGTGTGTGTGTGTGTGTGTGTGTAGTTTGTGTCCTTAAGCAACTCAAGACAACAACCTCTTACAGCTAAAGGTGGATATTCAGAGCAACCCAGTGTTTTCATTCTAAGTGTTTGTCTAATCTATAATGCTGACCTTGTTTCAGATGTCATAAGTGAAAGGAAGATGGGCTCTGAGCTGTGTAAACAAGCCCACAAAGGGAGCCAGTGTACAGGACTGCACTTGCAGGAAAATAGCCTACACCTACAAAAGGACACTTCTACGTGCAGGCTATTGTACATACAGTGTGGTGTTAATTGTGCAGATAGTTGACTTCGATCTGTGACTGCCAGCTTGGGATGTTTGGTTATTCTCACCCTCCACAATCAGAGTCTAATCGATAGTGGTACTCTTGCGGAATTTCTCAATCAATTTTCAATGAAAAGCAGAGAACAGCAGCAGCCTTGAGGACCCCACAGGCTGCAAGTGTTACAGGCATTCTTATGGCATTTCTGTTAAAGAGGTTATGTTTCTGTTTCGCAGTCACTGTCAAATACATCTACTCAGATGTAGACCTTACAACCATATATAAAGCTCGAAAGGATGTAAGTGCTCTTCACATTTTTTAATCTTTAAGGAATATGTACATAAGAGGATTTTTGATTTGGTTTGCTGGTTCTTGGATTCCAAAACCACATTATGATCCTTCTTCAGGCCTTTTCACACTATGGACCTAATGAAAATACGGAATCTTCACTGACGATTTTTCCTGTTCAAACATGTCACACCAAAGCCAAGATGAGTGACCACGTTCTGTGCATTCCACCAAAAATTAATTGTTTGCATTGTCACACGATTATTAGGGGTCCAGGCAGCAACACAGCTGCTGGAGCCCTAATGTTTTTGCAGCAAAAACTGTATGAAAAATATTAACTTAAAAAAGCAGGTGAATTGCAATCCACCCACAACTCAGGCACAAAAAATGACACTCATTGACCTCAAGGTGGCGCTGTTAAAAATCAAGTTGACATTTACAGATTTGATAAGAACACTGATTTATTCAAATTATTCAGCAATAAAATGAAGGAAAATTGATTCCAGCATATTGTTGAGCAGTGTCATGTTAAATGGTATGTACTCCAGATCAACACCAACATGAAAGGAACCTGATGGTGCTCCATAATGTACGATACACAGGTAGAAATTGGGAGGCGTTTGACTTCTTTTTACTCACCAACTTTGTAGACCAATAATTGAGCAATATTTACACCATAATTATAATTTCTGCACTATTTAAGTTTTGCCTTTGTGAATGCAAATCAGATCAGTTAGAAAACTGAAATCCTCTCATTAGTTCAATTCAAGAACCGGACCTTGAACTTAGTCACCACAGTAAAGGAACAAGAGCCCCCAGGAAATAAAGCTATTGTGACTGGATGGATGGATGTCACACAGATACCTTTTTCTGTGCAGGTAATTGGCAATTTGTTACCATAGCAACCAACAAAAGAGTATAATTTCTGTCTAATTGATAGCTTGTACAGCAGCAGCCTCTCTGGTATGTTGCTGTTTTATAGTCTCTGCTCAGCGAGCAGCATTTTCTCGTTAGATTATTGCAAATTGCAAAAAGCATGAGAGTGGGCCAATTTACCTAAGTGCTATGACTGAATGTATGTTTAAGAGGCTTTTAAAAGCTTTGCTTTCTCTCCATGTCTCTTTCATGTTGTTTCCAGACACAGCGGGTAACAGGCAGGATAATTAAAACACCTACAAGACAAATGAAGAGACTTAACATGATTAAAACTTCTATTATCCCCTGCACACCGAGCCTGATAGTTTTATGCAGTGATTTGTCACATCTGAAATTGCTCTTTGTTCACAGGAGAAACTTGTCATTTCAATTTGGGCCAGTGAATATGCACTCAGTGTTAATGTTTGTACATCAGCCAATGTACAGTATCTTTGCAAATGTTTAAAACAAGTAACAAGTAAAATGAGCCACTAATTAAAAGGAGTTTTTCACCAGTGATGCACTCTGAGCCACAACCTGTTTTGCACATCTAAACATGCCTAAATGTCTTAACTCCAGCTAGCAAACCTGCACTGTGACAGAGAAGAAGCACAGAATGCTGGGTAACACAATATAGTACACAAAATTATGAGTAGTTGCATGGGAAGAGTGAGGAATAAATCAGGAATGACTTAATAATAAATGAAGCAGAGCTAGAATAACTCTGAATCAAGGACTTTATGGTAGATAATGATGGGTTACTGGAGGACAGTCTGGGAAATATTATATTAATATCCCATTAGACAATGAATAGTTCATAAGTGAATCAATAGTGATCACTTTCTTCATGAGTAGTTCAGTTGATCATGGTTTAACAACTGAAATGGACAATGTCTCAATAATTATTCTTACTCATAAGTTACCCTTTTAGTGCCCCCTCAAGTAAAGTGGTACATTTCACTGAGTGGTTACCAAGTAATTTCTCTGACCATTTCTTGCCCTTTGTGCTCCCCTTTGTAAATTAGGAGTGTAATGATCCATTGATCTGGATCAGTATATCCATTCAATGATCAACGATCCAGTAACATCGATGCAAAGCGAAAACATTGATCTATATCATCATCTTTAGGATACACTTTTATTTTGAAAGTCTGTGTTAACATCAAACAGCAGTAGGTAATTGACAAGCACCCAAGAGAAAGACTGAGGATAACGTTATTAACTTGGGAATAAATCAGCAGTGTGGAAATATTTTCAGTGATGGAGTAAATACAGGTCAACTGACAAAGGAAATGCTGTATGTAAACAATACCCACTATGAGATAAAACATGACATAATGTTACCTGTCTGGACGGGCATCTCACTCCATTAACTTCTCAATACAGCAACACAAGCTGCTCTGTTTCAACAATGCTGGGCTGGAAAAAAAATGTGCACGCAGGCTGAAATTTAACTGAGCTGTTCTGCTGGGAGATACAGTGATTTAATTCAAGAGTAAGAAAAATAGTAACATTACATGTAACTTGTTAAGTGA